CTTAGTTATGTGCCCCTCTTTCCACTTTCTATACTTGTCCTTTTTATCTTTCAATTTGTCAGAGAGTTCTTTATGCAGCCATGCTGGTTTCTTTTGAGAGCTGTTATTTTTCCTCTTTGTTGGTATTGTGCTAGACTGGGCTTTTATTATCTCATTTTTCAAAATTTCCCAAGCTTCTTGAGTTGTTTTCCCCTTGAGGGTTCTCATTCATCCCCAAGCCCTCTCTAAGTTTATTGAAATTAGCTCTCTTGAAGTCCAAGACTCTAGTTTGACTGTGTTCTATTGCATGTGCTTCCATAATGTTGAATTCCAATATTGCATGATCTAATATAAAACTATTGGAGGCAAATATCCAACAGGGTGATGCCATTAATATGCTGATTATATATACCTTGGTCCAATTGGAAATGCTGATACTGTCCCATGATGGCTTTTACAATGCAGATCAGTCAGAGCAGAATAAAACCAAACCAAAGCAAGACAAAGCTAGTTAGTTAGTGTAGTTTTCTGTGATTGTCTGTCAAAGGGTTGCATTGCCTTTGAGAGAGCAAGTCAGTGACTTGTGGTTTTTCTCTGGACCTAAGTCTGGTATTTGTTAGGCAGATGGAGATTGGAGAGTTTTCAGTCCCTTACCTATTTTTTGTCTGGTACACCATTTGCTCCACCCTTCCTTGTGGAATAAGGTCTGACTAAAGTGACTCATGCCCCATACCCTTATCACTACTCATACCTCCTAAATGCACTATACCTGACCTTTCTTTGAAAATGTTGCAGCCTGGTTGTTGATTGACATTAATTACTATGGGTATATTACATTTGTTGGGTACTGCATTGATAGCCAGTAGTTTTGATTATAAAATTCTGTGTTGCCTGGACTCTTAAGTGCTTGCAGATCTATATATTTTAACTAGATTCAAGGCAACCAAGGAAGTAAATTTGAGAGATGATGCATGCATATAAGTTACTTATTTCCTAATGTCAGGGGGGCTGTTGCTAAACAGTACTGCTTCTCCTATTTGATTTTAACACATATTTGAAAGTACAAATGCTTATAAGCTATAAAAATAGAATAAGAATTTTCAAAATAATATTGGATTAGTACTATATATGTAAAATAATTTAATATCAACTCATCATTTTATTATAATAATAAAAATAAAAC